ATTCCGTTAAAGCGAGCATGGGCTAAATTAGTCGCAGATGCGTCTTTGCATAGGTATATCTTAAAATACGGTGCACCATTAAAAGTAATAACTCATAATGGTAGGCAGTTCGTAAGTCAAATTTTTGAGGATTTATGTAAAGGGCTGGACATACGAGATGTGAAAATGGTCCCTTATAGGCCACAATCTAACATCGCGGAAAGAGTGAATAAGAATATAGTTGAAATAATTAGAAGCTATGTTAAAAACTACCACAAGCGCTGGGATAGCTGCATCGACGAACTAGCATACGCTTTAAGAGTTGCCAAGCATGACACGACGGGAAAAGCGCCCACTGAATTATTTCTGGGTAAGAAGATTTTGACCCCACTCGATAAATTATTTTCCGTCCAAGAACGGGAACCTTAATTTAAGCAGGCGAACATCCAAAAACAAATTGATGAAGCGCTGATAAATTAAGATATAGCAACACAGCGGCAAAAAGTCTATTATGGCAGGAAACGCCGAAGCAGATTTCAAAGTGTGGGATAAGGTTTTAAAAAGAAAATTCAGCCTGTCTAGTGCTCCAGAAAATTTTGTGTCGAAGTTTGCACATAAATTTGAAGGTCCTTCCTTATATTGTACAACAGATCGTCGGAGCAGTCATTTATATTACTTCAGATTCAGATGAAAGAATAAAGATCAGTCCGGATCAGTTAAAGAAATACTACGACAGAACAGATATTAATATATTCAATAGTTTTTTTGCAGGCTTTTAAGACAGAAGAGGCAGCAATAACAACTGCGGTTTCGATCCCAGCAGCGCTTCTACCCCTTGTGAAAAAGAGAAGAACCCATGAGATAAGGCCGGAATCAACTCGATGTATGTCCCAAAAAAGAACGCCAAGACAGATGGAGTTCTAGCGACGAAGAAAGTTAAGAATACGGAGTCTGCCAGAAGAAAAGCCCCAGCCAGGAACAAGGATGGCCGTTGCGAGGACAAGGTCTCGCAGCAGACTACACCAGAAGACAACGAAGCCGCGGTTTACTGAAAGATCGACAAGACCACCTCTTTGTAGAACAAAGAGACCTGCCGTTGCACAAGGCTCTCAACACGGCCCGAAACAACCAAGAATGTCTATGCAACAGTCTTCTGTGACGCATGTTCCAAGAATCAAAGTTCCTGCTAATAAACAAAGAAACGAGAAGCCCCCAACAGTCCAGTTCAAAAAGCGGATGTATAGAGGAGAAAAAGGGAAGGGATCGACCCCAGCCACTGGAGCGAAACAAGCGAATTCGGATTGCAAGTGTGGGCAAACCTACATGGAATCAGTTCTGAAATAAACGCATGATGAATTACCAGTGAACAAAACACAAAGGATAAATGAATTTTCAATAAATCCTATTTGTTTGTAAAATTACATGTTAATCTTTTAGTACGAAGTTTCATGTTCAAGTTAAATTCCTCTGCGGAAGACTAAAGTTAGTTCAGTTTTATTTGGTGAAAGCACAATGCTAATTTGTAGAAATTTAATGTTATTGCAAAGAACGAGTAGTTTATGTATTGTTTGTCGAAAGACTATTTATGTTAACACGCCAAAAGTTCTGGCCGTATACAAGCAACTTTATTATTACTTCGTAATGAAAGTTTGTTTTAGGTTCACCCTTTTTTCGAGAAGAAAGAGGTCAAGTAATATTTTTTCTTTCATTTTATCCTCTAATTTGCTAGAAGTATGTGATTGTAAAATCTGAAAATATCTATTGTGCTAAGATAAAGTAACTGTAAATGCATATTAAATTCTAAAGAAATTAGAATAATTATGTAGTGTGAAAAGCTTCGAAATACGTTTAAAAGTTAATGGATGAAAAGTTAATGAAAGAAAATCGTGAATTCAGGAAATTTTAGTCAAATTAAATCATTTGTTTCTGAGCGAAAGCTTGCATGTTTCAAAAGCCAGAAGGGGACTAAGCTAAAATTAAGCATGAATGTGGACGAATACTTGTGTCCCTTAAAAAACTGCAATGCTCGGTAAACTTAAGAAAATTACATTAAAGTCTAAAGAGTTCGAAACTCGAGAAAAAGTTCAATGCTTGTTAACGTAAAGTGTTCTTTATTGCATGTTCAGAAACATGTATTCATAGTTATTCCTTTCAGGACAAGTTTCAGTACCGTAATGAGCAAGAACTATGGAGTCTACAACGAAAAGATGGGGAGGAAAACAAATTATTTGTATTGTAATTTATATCAAAGTTTAGTTCTTGTATGTAAACGGGGCTCAGGTCTGTTTTTCTAGAATTTAACAGCTTGTAACAGGTCTAAGGACCTTTATCGAAGTCTTCTAAATTCTGGCGTCCGCAACTGTAGGAATTTATATATATTTTAACTAATAATTTAAATTTTAGTTCAGACTTTCCTATAAGCCTTCATTCCCCTAATTATCAGTGCCAGAATAGTTAAATTTGGTAGCGCGCGTGACGTGAATGCAAATTCTACTTTGAGGAGGAAAATTTAAATATCAAGGTTTTAGAAGGGAAGTGTGTGTATGTGTGTGCGTGTGTGTGTGATTATGGCAAAGCCTCGAGGGCTATCTGCCTAAGATGAGGGATGCCTTCGTGGAGGACTTTCTAAGGGAAGCTGGCTCGTATACATGTTACACATGGGGAAAACCACGAAAGCGCCCATGCAGCCAGCCCGTTCGCAGGATTCAAACCTCGGACCGAACTACCAGTGTTCAGCGACTTTACCGCTCGGCCGCTGGTGGGCCCAGAAGGGAAGTGAGAGAGTTGGGCTCGAGCAGCCGTCTCTGCCGTAGGTACAATTGCTCATTGCTCGTTCAAAAAGTGGCTTAAATGCATTTATCTGCTGTCACTAGTTATAGAGGGGGTTCGACGTATCTCGCTGAACCCTGTAGGTTACTTTAGCTCTTGTTAAACATTTCAACTTAAGAGTTTCAATAATTACCTGCTTTTCAGTTACCGCCCAAGTAGAGGCGAAGTTTGCTAACGTCGAGTTGACGCAGTGTAAATTTTAGAGTTAATAAAGAGTTTGAACCTTTCTTCTGTGTAGTTTCCTGCTACTCCAGTATACAGATAGAAGTTAACCCACCTGGACACTACAACGTTATTTGCATAAATTAAAATGAAACAATGTTCAGCTTAATAAAGTATAATTATTAGATCACTATTTTAAAGTATAGAATTTAAAAAAGAGTAACGCATTTTTAGTTTTAGAAAACTTTAAAATTAGTTTCGTAAAAATTCTTTCAATATACCATTTGTAACCAAATTATAAAATAAAGAATGTTATACATTAATACATCAAAAAAGAATATCAGTGAATGACATTTAAAGGGATAAAAATCATGATAATAATGTACTTTAGCAGAAAAATTCTAACTTGCTTGTGCAAAATTCTCTCGGGGGGGGCTGGATTAGGTAAGTTATTTTAATATGGGGAAGCATAGGGGAACTATCTGTCAAAGGAAAATGATGCCTTTGTGGATGACCTTGGCTCGTACACACGTTATTATAAATTAAAATATATCAGACACTCATAAATCACACACATAAAATGTCAAACATGAAATGGACCACGAGTTATTCTAACGTATATTTTAATCAAACTCTTAAAGCAAGACGAAAAAGACGTCAAAGGTCCCAAGTAATGAAATCAGTTAGCTCTCTTATTTTACAGGAATTAAACTTTATATGTTTCATTTTTTATAATGAGAATAAATTTTTATTGAATGTAACTAGAGGGACTCAGGGATCGTAAAGAATCGGAAGGAAGTTTTCGCAATTGTTACAAAATTAGTTTTTTTTTTTTTGTTGTTGTTATTTTTAAATGTCAAAATATGAATATTGGCGTCAGTTAAATACTTTTGTAACTGGAAGCATATATTTACGACCAACCGATATACACTAAAGTGTACATAATGGACAAGGCGTAGGCTTGACAGAGATCGGATGACTCAAGCTCCTGATTGATAAGTTATAATCAGTGAAAAATATACTTCAACCAAGCGGCGCCAATTTTCGTTTAATACGATAAAGAAGCAAAATAATATTGACGCTACAGACCAACTTTCAATTAAATGATTTTTGTATAATTATGACCAGAATTTTATGAAAGATTTCTCAACACTAAAATATGGGAGATTTTGTTAAACATTCTCATCGCATATATTTTCTCCAACGTTAAAAAACCGGAAAGGGGAAATTTTCATTATTTTTAGCTCCAAAAGAAATTTGTTTTCATAGTGAAACGTGAGAAGATATTTAAGAAAAATTTAGAAGTCTTTTTAAAGCAATTTAAGTTGCTTGTCACCGCTTTAAATTCAAGACCTTTGGAAAAAACTTTAAACTGACACTAAAAACCAAAATATATTTGTTGAGACGACTAAATACTTTCATCTTTAAAAAAAGAAAAAGCACCGATGCTTCAAAAGTAAGAGATTTTAAAAAATGGTAAATTAATATATTGTATTTATTGCTTTAAACAACATTGATTATACAAGGAGGAGAAGTCTTTCGTTATTTATTGCGTATAGCGTTTTGAGAGAAGGAAAAAATACTTAGATTTGTACAGTGGACTGGTGATCTCACATGACTTAATCTGACCGGGTTTAGTAAGCCAAGCTAGAACCAGACTAGCTGAGCTAGTCAAAACAGTGCCAGAAGGTTTCGTCACAAGCTATGTGTGCCGGAACTGAAATTATTAATTTATTCTAATTAGATCCACGATACAGCAGTTTGATAAGAGTCTGACTGGTATTCTTTGTATCACTAAAGGATCACATGATTTTAAGAATATTAAGTCTTGGTAAAAAGTCTGATGTACTGTTAATTTTTTAACTGAAATACACTTTCTTTCATGTAATAAAATATTAAGATGGCTTTCTACTCTGACCTTAGCAAATCATATGACCTATCTATTTTATTTTACAAATTGTAAGACTTTATTAAAGAGAAAACTTGATTTGGATTAATATTTGCTTATTGACTTATTACAAAGGACTTACTTTCCAACATGTCGTAGTTCTGGCTATTTTCCCAGCCTTCCTGTTCATCTGAATGAATACAGCGAACACTGTCCTTTTTTTGAATTTCAGATAATAAATCTTGCAGAAATTCATCAACAGTGTTCGTTATATTTTTTTCATCTGTAACGAAATGACAAAAATATAATAGCATCATACTTTGTAAAAACAGATCATCCAGTTATAATTTTTTCCAAGGAATATGTAATTGAAATACATACAACTTTAAAAAATAAAACTAATGTAACTTGGACTTATACAAAAATTTAGAATTGTACTTTGCCTAAAACTTTATCCCTTAATGCGTCTGAATACAGCGTCTCAAGGCGGCTAAATACTCGACTTAAAGAAGCTGAAGACGCGGAATTTTTTCTAATAAATAAATTTTTAACCAAATTTTAATTTTATTTATTGTATACTTATCAAAATATACATAACCAATAATGATAACACAAAGGAAAAACTTAAATTTATATTTATCTTTGATGTGAAATCTAAAGATTCTGCAAGAAATGCCTATTATTTAACTTTCTAGCTGAAACTGTTAACGGCTATATAGTAAAACTTCAAATTGACCTAATAAATTCTAAATAGTTATGATTTGTTGATATAACATTTAAATAATTAACTTATATAATTAAATAAAGTGTAAATTGTTGCGAATCTCCAGAAAAAAGTTTCCAGGCGGGGAAAAATTTTGAGAATAAATAATATTTTTCTCTTTTTCTTAGTCATTAAATTATCTTCGACATATACAGAAAAATACATATATTTGTAAGAAAATAATTATAATTTTTTTTATTTCTTATTTTATTACTTTACATTTTTTGACAAAATAAAACAGTTTTGAAGAAATTAAATTTTTTAACCAAATTTCAAATTTATTTCATTAAATGTTTATCAAAACATACATGAATAATAATAAAAAATAGTAGAGGAAGAAATACAGATTTACTTTTATTTTCGATCTGAAATCAAAAGAGTCTGCAAGAAATTTCTGTTAATTACACTTTCCAACTCAAATATTAAAATTTCAATTCGCTAAAAATTAAAATTTCAGACTGACCTTTATCCTAAATAATTCTAGTACGTTGATATAACAAATAATATTTCACTTAAACTAAACAAACTAAAAAAGCTTTTGAATCTTCAAAGAAAACTTTCGAAGTGGGAGAAAACTTCAGATTAAATAATGACAACTTTTCTCATTCTTTAATTTATTAGTTTTTTTATCACATACAGAAAATATACTGTTACGAATTTTGCAAAATGTACAATGAAAGGTCTGAAGAGAATGAGGCTTTACCAGAAAAAAAAAAAAAAAAAAGGTTACAGCAGCAAGTCTATGAGGTAAATGAATGGCTGTCTCGCTAAACTGGCGAGATATCGGCAGACTAACGACGATTTTGGAAACTAATTTCAGCCTGCCATTAAACAAGCTCTCAGAATAGCTGAGTGTCCGAGAAATCTTTATCATACATTCGCCGGTTATCTTAAGGAATGCTTTTGAATCATTGCCCGTAACCAGGGTAAAACCACCAAAGTGTAACAACGAGTCTGTCCCCATGGCTCATGTGCGGGCCCTATACTTTGGAACGTAACTTTCAATTCTGTTTTAATTGCCAACTAGCCATACTACGTACACCTTATCGCATACGCGGGCGACGTGACATTTCTCGTCAAGAGATGCATTCGGGACGAACTCAAGTAAAGGAGTACGAACATTTGTCGTCAAATTACATCCCTACGTCACACCCTTAAACTGCAGATTTTTGCAGAAAAGTCAATGGCTCTGATAATAGCTAAGCCGCGTACTAGCCTCACACGGAAACCGTGCATCAAGGTTGAGGGGAAGAGCATCAATATCATCCTGGAATTAAAATTTCTAGGGCTTATATGGGATAAGGGACTGACAAGAATCCCTCATCTGCATTACTTAAGAACTAAAACTGAAGCCGTAGCACGGATGGCTTGCTAATTACAAGGCGCAACATGGGGACCTCCCCCCTCCCCAAATTCGCAAAATTGTTATTGAGAAGATCATCCGTTATGCAGCTGCCGTCTGGGATCAGCCAATGAGGGGTCGAAACCAAAAACAATTTAAGAATGACGAATTTATGAACTCTTTTTCAGCAACTTAAATTGCTTTCCAACAAATTAAAGATATTTGAAGAAAGATTCTTAACTTAAACTACAAATAAAAGGATATTTAAATAAATAATTTCTTCTTAACAAAACAGCACTGACGCTTTAATAAAAGGCGATTTTAAAAATGGTAAATTAATATGTCGTATTTTTTACATACTTTAATCAGCACTCATTATGCGAAGACAACAAGTCTTCTGTTACTTATTTGTTTTATTACGTTTTGAGAGCATGAAAATACTTAGCCGTATACAAATCTCTGTTTATCTCACAGGACTTTATCTGACCGGGTTCAGTAAGCTAAGCTATGTATTAGACTTTAAGACAGTATAGGAAGATTTCGTGAAAAGCTATGTGTGCTGGAACTGAAATTGTTAATTTATTCTAACCAGATTCTTGACACAGCAGCTTGAAAACAGTTTCACTGATATTCTGAGTATCACTAAAGGATCGCGTAAGAAATTATATAAGTTCCTGGAAATAAATATAATGAATTGTTATTTTTCATTTTGCTCATGTAATATCGTATCAGAATGGAGCTCTACTTTGAAGTTATCAAATCTTAATTCCTCTGTGTTTGTTTCTTATTAAAAAGAAACTTGATTTCATGCAACAGTTGCTTCTAACAAACAATTATGACTCACCTTCTAGGAAGTCAAATTCAGTCTGACATTCTTCTAAACATTTTTCATTGGCCGAATTTACAGATTCAACTTCAGTTGAATGAACAGAATGACGTTCCTGTTCCTCCTCTTTTTCTTCGATTTTAGTCAGTACTTCTTCTACGAACTGTGCAATTTCGTCCATTCTTACAATCTAAGGAAAAAACACTAAAACATTTCAGTATATTTGCTTAAAACATAACTTGAAGTTATAAATTTTGTTGATAGAGTATGTAATTTAAATACATAATATTTCAAAAAATAAAAATAATGTAATTAGTTTGTTGGGGATCAAAACAAAAATCTTGAATTCTACTTTCCGCAAACATCTCTAATATGTCTGAATAATATGTTTTAAGGCAGTGGTCTGAAACTCCAATTTAATGTAGGACGAATGCACAATCTAAAGCAGCTAAAGTGGTGAATTTTTTTAATAAATAAAGTTTTAACCAAATTTAGATTTTATTACTGAATACTTAGCAAAAGATATATAAACAATAATAAAAACGCAAAGGAAAAAATTCAAATTTATATTTATCTTCGATGTGAAATCTAAATATTCTGCAAGAAATGTTTATAAATTACATTTTCTAATTCAAACTATTAGCTGCTATGTATTAAAACTTCAGACTGATCGTTATTCTAAATACTTCTGATTCGTTGATATATCCAATAAATAATTAGCTTTTAATTTAAAAATTAAACAAATTGTAAAAGCGTTGCGAATCTTGAGAAAAAATTTTCCAGGTCATAAAAAAACTCGATAATAAATAATGACAACATTTTTTTCTTTATTTATTAAATTTTTCTTCGACATATAAAGGAAAATAATTATATTTGTAATCATATAATTATAAACATTTTTTATTTCTAACTACAATTTAATGCTTTTTCGATTCCTTGAGCTCTGGAGAAAAATTACTAGAATCTTTATCACGATTACTCAGATTATTAGATTTATTACTTAATCTTTATTGCTTATCTTTATCACGGATTTCAGATGATCAAGAAGAGGAGAAATTACCTTTATCACGGAATGCAGATGATCATTAATAGGTTTCTTTCCATACGAGTTAATAATTTTCAACTTCGAATACAACTGCTCAGACAAAAATGTACTCCCGGACAAAGCAACTATTTTTACTACAGCAATTAGTTAGTAAGCATATTTATAGTTTGACAAGTACGAATAATAGTTAATCAAATCTGTACCTTCAAATCTTTGAATAATATTTATATTACACTGTTGATTAATAAGCTTCAGTTTTTAATTTTCTTCTGAGTTATTTATGTTCGATTTTAATGGTAATAAAAATAATAATATAAAATCTTTAATGTTATTTTTCTCGCATATTCGTGAGATTTTTTATTTAAAGAAGTAGAGACAGATCTAAAGATGTAGGAAATGTACGAAAGATATTTTTTTCAGCTGTGTATCCAGTAATTGATGTTTAACTTTCATAGCTTTAATCATAATCAAACATGTCAGTGATAAATTCATTCTTTCCTTGCAGATTTTTATTAAGAACGGCCCACCAGCGGCAGAGCGGTAAAGTCGCTGAACTCTAATAGTTCGGTCCGAGGTTCGAATCCCGCGAGCGGGCTTGCTGCATGGGCGTTTTCGTGGGTTTCCTCATATGTAACGTATATACGAACCAGTTCCCCTTAAAAAGTCCTCCAAGAAGGCATCCCTCCCCTTAGGCAGACAGTCTCGAGGCTTTGCCGAAATCACATAAACAAAACCTTTATTAAGCATGTTTTGATTTTGGTTTGGTTTATTTGATTATTTGATTGGTTTATTTGATTAAGCAAAGCACGTGAATGCTCTCTGCCTAAGGGAGGGATGCCTTCTTGGAGGACTTTCTGAAGGAAACTGGTTCGTATACACATTGCACATGGGGGAAAGTACGAAAACGCCCATGCAGGCAGCCCGTTCGACGGGATGAAAATTAAAAATTGGAGAGGAGTCACTGCAAACAGAAGACGCTAGAAGGAGCTTGTGGTACAGGGACGGAAGCTGCCTTGCACTGCTGGGCTTGTGATGAAAAAGAATTGATGAAAATTTTTGTTCATAATTGGTAACCGTATACCAACATATGTGTGGCGGACGATCTTCGTTCTTATTCTCTTTTTATTATTCTTATTTTCTTTCCCCCCTCCCCTCTAGTTACGAGAAATGTTAGGAGACCCTTGCTTGAAATTGTGGTTTCAGTTCGCAAGAGATCAAATTTTTATGTTTCAAATACACTTTTGACTTACCTAAGTCGAAATGGTTATAGTGACACGGACGTCTTTGATTGTGGCGATTGATATGTATCTAGTTCGAGGCTTAGCAACCCGATCATTACATTTTTGAATGTTGCTTTGGGATCATTATCTCAGATTATCGGCTTCTGAATACTGAACGACTGGGACAGAGAATATGTTCTTTAGTAAAGTTGCACAGCTTAGGAAGCTTTTTATTACTGTGCTTCCATATATACTGGAATTTCTCATTGTCAGTACATACTGCAACCTTTAAGAAAAATATGAATCTTCATGCAACATTTATCTTATTTTACGTAATTTTATCTATCGCTATTTTTATTATGTATTTTGCTTTATGTAATATTAAGTTGTAAGGATTATGTTAATTTATCTAACAGTTAATTTTGAGTTAAAGTTGCTTTCCTATCTTTTCTTAATTTCAAGTTTACAACTTCCGGCCACGTATTTTTAGAATCGCGTTTGAATGCAATTGAGGAGAAGTATTTAACTGTGAAGTTCTACTGACTTCGTTAGAGAGAGAACCAGTGATTCTGACTAGCGCGCGTTCGCCTTTTTAGTCTACTCTCTCTCTCTTAAGCTATTACTACGCTCGACCGTACTTTAGGCCCTTAAGCTTCGCCGTTAATTAGCGTTAAGAGGCCAACTCTGTTAGAATCCTGATAGCTTCGGCTATATCTTTTTTAATTAAGATTAGTTAAGTTTTAGTTCTTAGTTTCCTGAGTTCAAGCCCGAGTGGAGGCTTTATTGTAACTCCAGGAAAGGAGTCATCTGTCAAACCTTATTGGAATAATAAAGGGTAATTTCATCCTTCTTTCGTTTCGTTCTCTGTCTCATGAACTCAAGCGATTATTCGCTTATCAATTCTTAAGGTTCCTCAACTGTAGCTACAGATTAAAACACTTAGGAATCTTACAAAGTACTTTATGTAATTTGCATATTTTGTATTATTATAATTTTAAATTTAAACAAATTAAATTTTAAATTTTAACAAACACGTATAAAAGTAAAAAAGCAAATTTAAAGCCAAAATTAAAAAAAGCAAATTTAAAGCCCAAAAGAATTAAAAAAATTATTTAAAAAAATGTGTAAACATATAAAAGATTTAAAAGATTTAATTCTCGAACTAATCTACAATATCATTTAAATTCAGAAGCATAAGCAAATCAAGTGCAAAACCAATCCATGAAAATAAATTCACTAATTTAGCAAATTAAAATTAATCCAAACAATTTTTTTAAAAATGCATAAGTGAATGGACTGTTGAGTAGGCAGGAGACAGACTTATCAAGGGGAATTTGCCTCCAACCTAACTCTCCAATCATTCAATTCGTGTTTCCTCATTCATGCAGGCAAGGGTAAAAGTCAAAACCAAAAGTAAAAAGTGAAGAATGTCCAAAAAGAAATACCAATAAAAGTGGTACCCTAGAAATTAGCATTAAGAATTAAAGTTTAAAGGAAAATACTAATGAAGTCTTTTGAGAAACACAGCAAGTAAAGTCAAGTATTAAATTTAACTTTTTTTTTAAATAGAAAAAATTAAATTAAAAAAAATTATAAAAAATAATTTAGAAAATAATATATTTCTAAAATATATATGTTTCTAAATTATTTTTATATAAAAATGTTTTTTAAAAATTTAATTTTTTTATTTTAAAAAAAGTTTAATTTAATACTTGACTTTACTTGCTTGTTTCTCAAAAGACTTCATTAGTATTTTCCTTTAAACTTTAATTCTTAAATGCTAATTTCTAAGGGTACCTCTTTATTGGTATTTCTTTTTGGACATTCTTCACTTTTTACTTTTGGTTTTGACTTTTACCCTTGCCTGCATGAATGACAAAACACTAATTGAATGATTGGAGAGTTAGGTTTGGAGGTAACTTCCCCTTGATAAGTCTGTCTCCTGCCTACTCAACAGTCATTCACTTATGCATTTTTAAAAAATTGTTTGGATTAATTTTAATTTGCTAAATTAGTGAATTTATTTTCATGGATTGGTTTTGCACTTGATTTGCTTATGCTTCTGAATTTAAATGATATTGTAGATTAGTTCGAGAATTAAATCTTTTAAATCTTTTATATGTTTACACATTTTTTTAAATAATTTTTTTAATTTTTTTTTTTTTTTGCTTTAAATTGCTTTAAATTTTGGCTTTAAATTTGCTTTTTTACTTTTATACGTGTTTGTTAAAATTTAAAATTAATTTGTTAAAATTTAAATTTCATTCCTTGCAGCAAGGCAATGGCGGAAAGAATTTTTAATTAAATTTGTATTTAAATTTAATTAATTTATTTAAATTAATTTTTTTTAATTAAATTAAATTTTTTCTTATGAAACAATTTTGTATTATTATATATGCAGTGTGTGTTATCATGTAGGTATTTGTATGTTGTCATGCATTTTATTTTATGTATTTATTATTATGTCTTTTATACATTTTTCTCTTTATTTCCCGTGTATTGCATAATAATTCCTATGCACGTACAACGTTTTTCGGAAGTGTTCTTTTATGATGATTTCTAATGCGTTTTTGCATATATCTTTGATGCTAGGTAAATTTTTACAACAAGCATGAGTATGTTCTACCTAAAAATATGTATAATAGTAAATTCTATGTACATATAGAATAAAAATTAATGATATTGGTTATGAAACACTGCAAAATGTATTCATGTAATTTTTAATGCTCTTTTATGTACCTATTATATTATTTTTTTATTATGTTTATATTTTTTCCCAATAAATTCCAATCCATTAGATTCTGAAAACGATGAACTTTGAATCTGATGATTCTATAATATATATTTATGCAGTTACAAAATTTTATTAGATCTTATTATATGCATAGTTCTTTGCAATCTTCACAACCTCTAATAAAATGCTAC